TCATTAGCTCCTCACTCCCACCCATCCCAACCCCTCCCTCTCTACCATAGGCCCAAGAGATAGGACATTCACTTATCCTGGATTTCATATACAGAAAACTTACAAAAAAACAAAACCAAAAAGGACCCTCAAAAAAAATACCAAGAATAGCAAAATAAAATTGTCAATAACTTCCACCGGAAGGATGACAGAAAATATTAAAAACTAGAAAAATTTAAGTAAAATTTAGGGAAGATCAAAAGATAGGGTGCTAAATTTTAACCTAAGTGCATTTCCTGTTCTTCCCAAGCACCCTAGCTCACAACCTAGCACATAATAGTACTCAATAAATAGTTCTCAAATGGATGAGTGGTAACTAAATTCATTTTCCCTTTAAATGAAAGAGATCAGAAGCTGCGGCTGACTGTTTCTGGCCTTGTCTATGGGGCAGGAAGATACAAGCAAGGACACTTACTTTGCTTTACAGGGAATGAGTGTGTCATCCAGTCTGCGACAGTACCCATACTTCGACCCACCTTCATTTGTGCTGTAACAGGACTGATCTGCAACCTCCGTTCCTAGGGTGACCATAGGAGATATTTGAAAACAAAAAGGCAAATAAATGAAAAACCTCACGACCTAATATAAAACCAGTGTGAAAGCACATATTTAGCATAATTCCATTGACCATTAAAAGAAATATATATAGGTTGCCATATTTCTTTCTTGATCAAGAGAAATTTGGGTTAAAATACTTTTTAAAATATTCTAAATCTGTTTCCTCTATTTTTGGAAATATTTGGATGATCCAATGATGACTAAAAATTCATCTAAAAATTAAGACAGCTAAGAGAACTTAGCAATTATGCCAACAGTCTCCTTGCAGATATTCAATTATATCCTATTGGTATATGCTATTGTGATAACTACCAGCTATAATTTATCAAGCTCCTCTTATGCACCAGGTTTACATAAACTTCACACATATGCATTAAATAATTTTACATGTACACCTTCTCAGAGTCCCAGCGGATGGGCAGTAGAGTATAATGGTTATAAACTCAGGCTTTCACAGTCAGTAATGCTGAGCAGCTATGTGACCTTGGGCAAGTGGCTTTATTTCTTTTTGATTGGGTATGCCCTCTGTAAAATAAGGATCTATAATGACATCTACTTCACATAATTGCTGTGAGGATCAAATGACTTAATGACTTTACACACACACACACACACACACACACACACACACACTACAGAAAACACTGCCTGGTCAACAGTAAATGATGAATAAACCCTAGCCACTCTTATTATTTTTCCCATTTTACCCATAAGGAAATGGAGAACCAGACTGAAACACAAAAAGATGCATAATCAGACAGTTCTACAGTTCTACCTGAGTCTACGACCTACATTCCCCTTTTTTGTATATGTGTGTGTGTGCTCGGCTGCCCCACGAAAGGTAAGTAGAAAACTCCTACAAAAAAATTTAAGGTCAGAATTAAAAAGCAAACAATAAAAATCAGTCTAGGTTAAAAATAAGCCAAATCCTATGAAGATATTACATTGATCTTTAAAACATCACTTAAACTATTATAATGACTGGTAAACTCATTTAAATTTTAAATGAATTTCATATTCAAGTGTTCAGGATGCCACTGGTTTTATTAACCTACTTATTATTTCATATATTAGAAATATTTATTAATTTTATAATACTATATTATTCAAATATAGATATTGAAAAAAGTGTAATTCTAATTGCAAAATTCAATGATGGCTACTGCTTTTGCAGAAAGTATCATTAATATGTTTGGCATTGCACTATTAACTTTTCCCAGTTTATAGTATGTCTTTTTCCTTCTGCAAGTATGAAACATTTTATATATTCTTTATGTTAGACTAGAAATGTTTATAATAAACATATGTAAGTCTATAAAAGGCTGACTACAAACTTCATAAACAACATATTTCTGTGTAGCCTCAGCAACAATCCATCTTGCCAAGGACCTACCTCTTTTTCATTGGCCCTCACTTTACGAAGCATGATGTCCCTTTTCAGGGACTGGACTTGCCTGATAATGTGTCCAAAGTATGTAGACTAAATCTTGCCATCTTCTATTTGAAGGAGCACTCTGGCTCTACTTCTTCCAAGACAAATCTGTTGGGTCTTTGGCAGTCCATGAGACTTTCAATATCCTTTGCCAGCACCACAATTCCAATGCACCAATTCTTTTATGCTTCTCCTTATTTAATATCCAACTTTTACTTCCATATGAGGCCATTGAAAATAGGATGTCTTGAGCCAGGTGTACCTTAGCAAGGTAACATCCTTGTTCCTCAATGCCGTAAGGAGGTCTTCTGGAGTAAATATGCCCAATGGCACGTGTCCTTTGATCTCTTGACTGCTGCTTGAGCACTGATTGGGAATACACGAAGAAACTCAAGCCAACTTCAGTCTTTTCTCTACTGGTCATGAGATCACCTACTGCTCCAGTTGTAATGATTTTGGT